GCTCAGAGAACCCCAAGGACTCCACAGTTCAACCCTGAGCTACACATATTTGCCTCCACTGCAATCCCAAATAGATTTTATAACTACTGTAGAGGGCATCATTGTAAAGTGCTTTTCCTTTAACATTACAGTACCTATGTGGCATAATGGCTGATAGGGTTTAAATACTGAGAAAGAAAACAAATGTTCAATAATAAATAGAGATGAGATTTAAAAAAATTTTTAATAGTGAAATATACCACCACTACTACCACCACCCACAAAAAAAGAAAAAAAAAGATAAATAGTGCTTAAACAGTGAATAAAAAGAAAAAAAACTAGATACATTATGGTGGTTAAAATAAACTAATATGACAAAAAAGAGAGAAAAGGCTAATTAATAGGTAATAAAAAACAAAAGATCCATATAATATCCATGGGTATTGATATAAAATTAATTAAATTCTTTAGCTAGACCATATAAAAATATATTCTTCTTATTTTTAGAACAGAAAGACTTTTCAAAACTAGGCAACAGATTCATATCCTGAATTAGGAGAGTAAACTTCTTTGCATTTAACTAAAATTATCCTCTTTGCTGTGCCCCAGGCTCAAGAGAGCCAGAACATTTCATGGGATAATTAATTCCATGTTTTAGGAATATAGTTCAACATCATGTTAAGGTTTTTAACCATTTATTTCCAAAACTGCATTGACATATGTAATGATTTGAAACCAAAATGAAGCTATAGCTGGACTACTCATAGATCATGTTAAACAGCCTTCAAATTTCTTATAATGCCAGCACAAAAAAAATCTATTATCCAATCCTTTTTAAACGTTCTTTGAAAGATCCAATAAATATGAAATGTTATTTTTGGATTTAACATTTCATTCTTAAAATCATAAGTAGTATATTTAATGTTTCTTAACACCCGGACACACTGATTCTCCAAATAGGATATGCCAGTTCTTCACTCCACAATTCAGATATTTCATTTTACTTTTACATTTGTTATAAAATTGGACTGTTTCTGTTCAAGCACTGCATCTCTTAAGAAACCTATAATTCAGGTGCCCTGAAGGCTGTAAAGCATCCAGAGCACACAATTTAGTTAGTACATGTTTCAGTTGTATATACTGCCAAGTGAATTTTGTAGGTATTCAAAATAAAATAAACATGGAGTTTAAACGTTTAACATGGAATATAAATGGGGCAAATGCTCCCCAGAAAAGGAAGAAGAAATTTCATTTGAAGAAATTAAAGCTGGGTGTAATTTGTCTACAAGAAACACATATAAGAAACAAAGATTAAAAATATCTGATTTATAAGAGAGAAATTGTTTGGGAGTTATACCAATTTTTGGTACAAGCAAGAAAAATGGAGTTGTTTTGTATATAAATCTACAAACGCAACCAAAAATGAACTGATCTGATGACCAAGGCAAATATGTGGAGGTCAAGATTAACTTGAATGGCACTCAAATAGATTTTACTATTGGGGGTCTATGCCCCCAATAGTAAGCTACACTTTTTAATGGACTTACGGGTAAATTAATGGACTTGTCATACAAAAATTGGTCTCTAATGGGATATTGGAATTGAGTGGTTTGCCCATAACAAGATAAACTATCTGTAAAAGGGACTAAGATAATGCAAGGTAAACTACCAACATCTTTTTTTGAAGTGATGGACAATCCTGAACTGATTGATATTTGGAGGCATAAAAATGGTGACTCTAAGGAATACATTCTAATACAATATCTTCCCTACTATTTTCAAATCTGGGTTATTCCACAACATCAATTTCTCATGTGATTCAAAATGAAAACGTAACCACTTACCTATTAATTGCCAAATGTACCTGGGAGCTTTCAAGATTTGAAAATAGAGAACCCTGGACTCTAAAACCTCCTAAGATTTCAGATATGTTGCATACATCTCAAAGAGCCAAAGAGGAGAATATTTAACAAATATCTCATTCCAAAAGAATATAGATGTTAAAATAAAAGCCCAATGATACAGTAGAAAATCTGGTAAATTAAAGCCAAATTCATAGTAAAGTAATCTCAGTTTGGCCAACAATTTTCCAGGGGCTTTAGCCTGCCATGGTTTTGTTTTTCTCATTAATTTATTGGTGTAACTTTTAGGGATTAATTCCTCTTAAAATATGCATTAATATTTATTTTAATAACATTAATCTTGTCCTGGAGACTTAATGGAAGTTTAAATCATTACTGAAAGTACAACTATACATTTAGATGTATAAATATTTAACATATTGTGATATATTCTGAGAAAGATATAAACCCAAGTATTTTATAGGGCCTGTAAAAATTGTAAATCGTAATCTCTTGCCGTGTTCTATATACATAGTAGATCCCAAAGGCATCAAATTAGACTTTTTCCCAACTAATAGTATAACTAGAGTATAAACCATATTGTTTTACAACTTCAATAAGCTTTGGCAATAACACTGTATAATTCTCCAGAATAACCATTAATTAGCATTGTTGTGGCCAAAATCTGGCTCACCTAAAGCAACAAAATCATTTTGAAGATATGATCAGTGAATATAAACAATCTGATTTATTGGGCCACTGGTCCCTGTCTGACTCCTCCCCTTGCCACCACTCAGGGCCAATTTAGCTTGCTGTGAATGTTTTCTTACAAGGGGACTTTAAGCAGTTCACATGTGTGGGGGAGGGGCATCTCATAGGTTTGGCAGTGAACGCAGCTCACATGTATGGGGGGGGGTATCTTTTACCACCACAGGATATAAGAACAAATTATATGCCACCATGCCCTTAATAGCTTGAGATTGTCTAATAAAAGAAGTCAGCAGTTCAAGAACCAAACTGAAGATTAAAGAAGACAAAGCGTGTCTTTGATGAGTACCATGAGATAACTCAATAGGATGAGAACAAATCTATTTGTAATAACTCTAATAACTCTAGGGTTATCAAATTGTAATGGAGAAATGATGGTGGAAACCCATATCTTCTTAGAATGTACTTCATACATTCAATCTGAATCATCCTGAAGGCTTTTCAGCATTCAACAAAATTAGAACTCCTGATTCCAATTTATGTGTTACAATGTCCAAAATATCAATCACCAGGTAAATGATGTCAGATCCTTCTCTGTTCTGTATAAATTCAGAGTGAGATGGGTGGATTATAGATTTATATTCTGTAACCTCCTAAATAGAGATGATAGTTTTAGGATTGTGCAAAATGGTTTGACCATGAATATGTTGCTGCATGTTTTGTTCAGGTGCAGATCAAGGCATGAATGTTTCAAGTAGAAAATGTTTCTCTTTTAGATAGGCTGGAAATTGTCTTACTTCTTGCAGCTGAGGTATCTTTCCCCACTGGGTGACTTAGACTGGATAGAGGGTAATCTGGGTGGAGTTTTAGAATAAAGCAGCAGGTTTAGAATTATTGAACACATGGCCCAACTATTCCCAACAGGTAATGGTCCAACAAGGTTTAAAAACCTCCCGTGAAGGAGATTCCACTACTATACATGGTAGTCTGTTCCAATGATCATTAACATTCTGTCTGAAAATTCCTCCTAATATTTGTCCTGAATCTTCTTTCTATTAATTTCTGTTCATCACTTTTTATCTTGCTCTTAATTTCAACACAGAATAAGTCCACTCCTTCTAATTTTTCCTCACAATGTTTTCTTTCCAGGCCCCTTATCAGCTGGATTGCTCTCCTCAGGACACACTCCAGTTTCTCAAAGATCTCCCTAAAATGCAGTGTCCAGAACTTATAACAATATTCTATAGGTATAAACTGCAAAATGCAGAACAGTAATGTTTTCTCTTGATCTTGACACTGTATGTTTCTTGAGGTGGCCTAGGAATGTATTTCCTTTTTTTGCAGTTGTATCACATTCTGTTCAGCTTGTGATGCATCAAGGTAACTCAAGTACTTTCCACATGTGCTGTACTCAAAAATGGTTCTCACCATCCTATACCCATGCCTCAATTTTTCCTATCTAAATGTGGGACTTTCAATTTATTCCTATTAAAATTCATCTTGCTGGTTTCTAACCATTATTTCTGCTTGTCAAAATTCTCATTATCTTTGTGCCATTTGCAAATTTGTTAATCGTAATTTTTAACTTCTTACCCAAATCTATCTATCTATCTATCTATCTATCTATCTATCTATCTATCTATCTATCTATCTGTTTAGGACCTAGAATGGAGTCTTGAAGTACAGCACTCAATACTTTTTTCCAGCCTGATGTAGAGCCACTACTGTATACTTGCTTGGTATGATTTTTCAACCAGCTCTGTATCCATAATATCACACTATTTTCTGTGCAGTCTTCTCCCACCCCAAATGGATTTAAACTTTCCAGATCAGAATTGTAAGGTACCCTGTTTGCAACAGGGAATAAATGAAAAAAAAAGAATTGTGTTACAAAATGATTATGCATGATTATACTACCTTCAGCTTTAAAAAACACAGATGTGTCTTCTGATGTGTTTTCTATGCTTATTTCACCACTATGGCATTTTGCTGAAATTACTCCCAATTCTTGGGAAAATGTGACAGATAGAGGCAAGCTATCTATTTATTATAAATCATCTGAAGAGGGAAATTTAGAAAACATGTTCTTAAGAATAAGGAAGAAACTTACAACAGGCTGAAATTTATACAGAAAGGAGGTCAAACAATCAGAAAGATGCATAGCAGCAAAAAAAGATGCACAAGAACAACAAATAAAAAATAAAATGTACCTGTGAATACCCAATTATATCTCCATTTTCATCTAACACATTAAAATTAATTATGGGACCTTGGATATCCGAGCTGCTGAAGTCAGTATCACTATAAATGTGCACAAGAGGTGCACCGTTATCATATTTTAATGTAGAAAGAACTGTATAGGTGTGGTGAGCCAAAGCAAACGTATGCTGTTTTATGTTTTCCATTCCACCTAAGAAAGACAAAGCAACCACCACCAATGGTCAACTTCTTATTTAGTTAAGAATAAGTTTCACTAGATAAAACAGTAATTTCATATAATCAAATGATGTAATAAATATAAGAAAAAGATCATTTTTCAGAAAAAAAGTAACACTCATCTAACGTATTACCTGGGCAAAAATGGAAACTCCAGATCATTTGAGACTCTCCATAAACATACGGAGTGAACCTTCACTGATCTAACACTAGAGACAAACTATATTATTTTATATAATCTCAATAACAATTCCATTCAGTAATTAGTTGATCTATTTAGGTTCAATACATGAACTGCTGAATTATTACAACAAACAACAAAATATTACAATAGATCTTTCAACACTAAAGTATCTTGTTCCTCTATAAAAAATTTTAAAAAATGATTTGACAACATTAAGTAGCTGCCTAGAGTCACATAAGTGGTCAGAATAAAAATATGGGCAAGCAAATAAAGCAAAACCAGTGGGAAAATAACTGAAATATCCAAGACCTCAGATTGGCCATCCTTGTACAAAAACCAAACAAACCCCAAATACTTCTTAGCCAGATAATTTGAGGAAATTTGATATATTTGATGATTTTGAAAAATGTTCTAGTCACTCAAGTAATGTCTAAACTGGATTGAATACGAGCAATTTTATCTGCAAAATGCCTAGCAAATGCGTCATAGCAGCTTGCAGGAAAATCACCCCCCATAGGAAAATCATCCCCCATAGGAAATAAAAAGGATCTAAGAATAACTTTTCTAAACTAAGATTGTGCATTAAACGGAGATCAAAAATTAAAGTAAGGTGAAAGGCAAAAGGCAACAGAGACAAAGGAAGATGTATCCAGCCAAACACTGACTTCCATAGAAGAGCAAGAACAGACAAGGAGTTATAGCAAAGATTTAGACCCTCCTTGTCAAACTGTACGTTTCAACTAATCTCTAAGTTTCTGTTCACTTAGAGGCTCATTGAAGGGGCACCAAGGGAGATAAGATGTTGGCTGGAGGATAAGTCGTCCTAAAAGACAGAAAAACAAAGATATTATGAACTGGGAATCTTACTATAAATCATTAAACAGGCTTATGTGTTCCAGAAATTAAAAAATGAAACTATAATTAATAAAGAATGTATTAACTAATATTTGAGATTAATGGTACAATGGCAAATACATAAGAAGCAGTTGACAATTCATGGGGAACATAGCACAAAAATACTTAAAGCTAACATGCAAAACAATTGAATTAGAAGCAGTAATAATATATGAGAATTTAGCACATTGTTTAATGACAGAAAGGCAAGGAGTTCAGAGAGTAGCATTTAGCATAAAAGCTCAGCAATTAGTCATACAAATGGAAAAATTTGAGGGCGATGTTTGCACAATCTTAGTTTAGAAAAGTTATTCTTAGATCCTTTTTAATATCATTTTTATTTCCTATAGGGGATGATTTTCCTGCAAGCTGCTGTGACACATTTGCTAGGCATTTTGCAGATAAAATTGCTCATATTCAATCCAGTTTAGACATTACTTGAGTGAGTGGAACATTTTGCAAAATCATCTAGATTTGTTTAGAGTCTGAGAAGTGGACATGATCATCTGCACTATGATTCTTGCCACTTGAGGGCAGGAATTCATGCCTCACTTGGCTCCTGCAGGCAGCCACAGGGGTTGTGTGTTGTTGGATTCAAGAAAAATTTAATGCTTTTTGGGGATAGGGATTGGTGCCAGCTGTCTTGAAGAAGGTAGATGCCTGCCCCTGAAGAAGCCATCTCTCAATCCAATGTATTAGACAACTTGCATCTGATCCTCAATCTTCACTTTTAAGGAAGACTTTGGAGAACATGGTAGGGCACTAGTTGAAGAGATTCCTAGATGAAGCAGATTATCTGGATCCCTTTCAATTGAGCTTGGATAGAAACTGCATTGGTTGCTCTGTGGATGATGTGCAGCCCTCCAGGTCCTATTAGAACTCCCAGTGGCATTCAATATAACTGACCATGGAATCCTTCTAGACCAGTGTTTCTCAATCTTGGCAACTTTTAAAATGCATGGACTTCAACCCACAGAACTCCCCAGTCAGCATGGAGTTTTATTCTGGCAGTAGGTGGTTCTAGACAATGATTAGAAAAGAGCAGCCAAAGCCTATTCCTTTGTGGGATTCCTTAGTGCTCAATTCTCTCTTCTGCGCTATTTAACATCTATATGAAACTGCTGGGAGAAGTCATCTGTCAGATAGGGGTGATGTAGCATCAGTATGCTGATAATACCCAGTTATACTCTCCTTTTTAAACATTTCTTAATTTTTCATGTTATTTATTCCATAAGAATCTTATGGAATGCTATTCTAGAGCTTTATGAGGATTGATCGTGCTGTTTTTAGTATGTTTTTATGGATTCTGAACTGCCCAGAGCCTTGTGAATGAAGTCTTGTTGCTGGCAACATAATTTCTAGATTAGAGATCCTATCTTGTATTGTGTGAACATGGTTAGGGTAAAATTGGGCTTTGGTTATACTTGTGGCCTACTGGCCAATATGTGCCAAAACTGACAGGTGCAAAGTTTACCATTAGCAAGAAATGCTGCATGTCATGATTAAGGTTGGTACCTTAGCCTATACATTTCTGTTTTACTAAAAAATACTAATCAACTCCATGATGGGCTGTAAAGGTTATTATTTATGGACCCATCTAGTAATAGATGAGTAAATGGCAAAGAATATAAATTAATGAAGTAAATGAAATAAAGACAAAATAGATATATATAAGAGGAAGGGGAGGAAGTAAGTAATAGATCTGAATTAATGTGATCTGATCTTTGTGGAGTGGACAAACAGAGGGAAGTAAAGGTGCAAGTGTAATTATTAATGGAATAATTAAATGTATGTCAGAAAGTATGAATTGCGGTCAGCTAGGTTGTTGCAGCTGGATATGAAAGTATAGCCTGTTGACAATTGTATGCTATACAGTGAAAAATGATAATAGAGAAATCCAGAATGAGTTGTAGGTCAGATAGTGCAACATACTGGATAAGTGTGATCCAAGGAAAAGTTATTCTACTAAGAAAGTATGGATGGGAACAAATAAAACATACAGAAAAAGTGACTGGGCCATTTGGAGATCCAAGCAAGAATGAGAATGGTGACTGATCTCAGAAAAAGGCATGTTTCAAATATGCAGTTTAAGTATCTTAATACATACATATGGCAAAGGAATGAATACAGTATATATCTAAAAGCATGACTGATATGCTTATGATGAAAAAGGGAGAATTAGTAAAGGATGTAAATGTGATGAGAGATACCAAATGTGGGATGGACCATTTTTTTGGTAGTCTCAAGAGTGAATTTTGTAAAAAAAAAAAAAATGGACATGGAAGAAAATAAATGAAGTGGAAGAAAACAGAGAGAAAAGTAAACTCCTGTACTGGTTAAGAAGCTGTACTAGATTATCAATATGTCTTCCAACCCTTTCATTCTATGATTCTAGAATAACTACAGGAAAAATGAAAGTGAGCCCTATATGAAAAACTATCAGAAGATAATTTTTCAAAAGAATGAATAGAAAACAGATGTAAGGAAAGAAGATAGGAAGCTATTTAGAACACAGTGAAAAGAACAATGTTACAGTGTTACAGAAGTGTGGGGAGTTGACTGATTGATCGTGTGCCAACAAGTTATTGACTCTTAGTGACCACATTTATTTATTTACAGTCCAAGGCCAAGTCACACAATTAAAAAATACAACACACTATTAATACATGCATAAGTAACATTACATACATATCTAAAATGAAGAAATCCTATAAAGTTAACATTTCATTGAAGGCGCCAAACAGTTTCTGTAAGGTAGAGCTAAAAATAAAAACATTGCTACTGCCTGGGTATTGGTCACTTAGTAAGAATACAAGTAGTCCTAGTTTAGCAACCACAACTAGGACTGGCAGCTCAGACAGACTAGCAGCTCTGTTGTTAAGCAAAGCAGTTACTAAGTGGGAAATCACATGACAACTGTGCTTTCCTTTTCTCCACTCCTCCATCCTTTGGAATGCTCACCCCAGCACTGAGATAATTAGCAAGAAGGGAATTAAAGTCTGGATTTACATTCATTGGGGTAGACGGGTTTATAAGAGAGTAAGCAGGCACACAAAGGGGAAAACACACCAAAAGGAATGCATGGCACCAGCAGCCCTGAGTGGGCTATTGTCAGAACCTCCAGCAATCAATCTATCAGCTCAGTAGTTGCTTGCTTCGTTTCTGCTATTTGTTTAGTAGGGGGGAGGGGGAAGCAAGGAAGATGAGACTGTTGACCCAGATGCATTGTTATCAAGAACCAGGAATGTACAAGGTCACACCAACATGAGAGCCCAGGGAGGGAAAGGAGAGGGAAAGGAGGGGCAACGAGGGGGTAAAAGTAGAGTGGGAAAGCGTGGGCTTTTAGTTTCAGCAATGCTTTGAAGCTGCATGTACATCTCAAT